AATTGTTAACTTGCGATTATAAAATTTATTACGTTTCATCTAACGCGAGCAATATTGCGGTAAAAAAGTTATTATATATTTATCTATTATATTATCCTAATCGTTCAATTGGTCCAACAATTTGACACAATTACTCTAAGATTTTGACACTGTTGCAAGTAACAAAATCCGAAATAACCGCAATAAAAAAAGATCAACAAGAAATGAAAGTAAAAATAGATTCTTAGTTACAGTAAATGTAAACATTACAAACATTAATAAATTTATTCAATTACTTCCAATTAGAGCTATGGAAGACTTTAATATTCTGAGCGCGAGCATGGTGTAGCAGACAGCGCATTGGTCTGCTGTACTAGAGATCCCAGATTTCTGGCAGAACCGAAAAATTTTCGTACACTCGTAGCTCCTCTCGAAAGGCAATGGTAAACCATCAAGTAGTATACTTGCCCAGGAAACCTTGTGTACGATCAATGAGCGCGCATGGGTATATGAGACTATGAGAGGGAGGCGCTTACGCGCTGAGATTGTGTATGGCACTTGAAGAAGAAGACTAATGAAATTGAAAACTATTAAAGTCTGGAGAGAGGACTTTGTACCTCTCATAAAAATATTACGAAATTAAATAATAAAATTATTAATCAAAATTATAAAATTTTTAGCCTTCTGGTATTTTTTATCATTAAGCATATTATATATTAGATAATAATTTGCATAAAAACGAGTATAAAAATTCATTAAAAATTTTTTTATTAATTTTTATTATTAATAACGCTTTTTAGGCTTTTACGGGTATTATCTTCAAAGATATCAGAACATAGCGTTACTACAGGACATCAAATACTATTCGACGAAACGGCTATTATAGCTACAACAGTGTCATATTTTCCGAGGAAGTACAGAGCCTCCTCTAAAAATATAGGAACATCCAGACAATTTGAACAGAGACTCAGGTTATAATGTAAGTAGGATATGTTCTTTTGACAAGCCAAATTCCTCTTCTCTCTTCCTCAACATACCCTCTCCTCCCCCTCTACAGCGTCTACATAAAGGGAGTTTTCCGAAGGAGTACCTCGGTATCAGTGCGCTCCTCGCTCTGATAAAGTGACCAACAATGTTCACGAAACATTAGCATTACTCTGGCAGAAAAAAAATTTTCGTAAAGGTTTTTCCACCAGGGTAGCAATGGATAAAAACACAGCGATAACCCGGAAACTTAGTATTTTTTATCATTAATTTTTTATTAAATATACCGTAGAGATATTGGAATATAAATATTGTAATAATTTTGATCAAGTTATTTTTCCTTAAGGTTTTGTACATATTTTTAAAATTATAACAAAATGAAAAAATTATTCTAAATTACATTTAAAAATAATATGATAAATTTGACGGTTATATATCATAAG